TGGAGGGTGAAGATAGAAGAGAGGAATCCAATCTATTCAGGCCCAGCTCTGCACCTCAGTAAACACTTTCAGTTTTGTAATCAAAAACTGCAGCACCAGAATTGATAAACTGGTTCACCCATGTGAATGTGTGACTTTCAGAGGGGCTCATAAAGGAGTTATTGGATACCCAATGAACATTTTTGGAGTGATTTGCATACGTGGATTCCTTAGCCTGCATTGAAAAACTGGCCACTGGCTCTCAGTATCTTGGAGGGCAAAGAAGCTTCTAGAACAGAAACCTTCAACTGATGTTTTTTTCCCCATGGCGTTATCTTCTATGAAAGCTTCTCTTCCACCTTGCTCATCCATCGGCTCTACAAAATCTCTGACAACGTACTGCCTGCACCATGGCCAGTAAAGGATTTATTATTAGATGTTACAGCTTTTGCAAGTTGTTCCTCAAAGTATTCTTGTCCTGCTGTGTGCTACCTCTGCAGTCAGCCTTGCCAGGGCAGCACACGCTACTCTATTTTGGGGTACAACTTCAGCTTCTTGAAGCCCCAGTGTAGTCTCCATATGTAAGCCCTGTGCCATCTACAAGGATCACTTTTTCTGACTGCACTTCAAAGGTTTATGGGATATTTCTGGACATCCTGTTGAGTTCTTAATGACAAAGGGGATCTTTCACCTGACTGATACTCCAAGAGGGGCCCTGAATTTTAACACGCAGCATTCCATGGATCAAAATGGATTTACGTGAGCAGGATCCTCAGTGCTGACCAGGACCGAGTCAAGAGTTGGTTTTCTTCTGGTTCGCTAATTAACTACCTTGTGAGGCAGTCATTAGTGATATTGAAAACGAGTCTTGGCATTATGCCTGGATATGACATTTACTTGATGCACACAGGGGTATCTGATTCTCCCATTACATCTGCATTTGTTGCTGCTGTGCTTCTCTAGGCTCCCTGAGCACGTCAGAATTGTGGCTGCTGCCAGCAGCAGCAGGCAGCTGATACTAGGAGTCTGTTCTTGCATTTCCTTTTTCAGACCTGGAAGATGCGATTGTTATATGCGTGTAAGAGTTTCTTTGTGTTGAACAGGCAGCTGGGACAAGTGTCTGTCTAGCTTTTCGTTTGATACACACGGCCCCACCGTGCAGGTAATAACTTTCTACACCTGGAAACCTCTTGTCCTCATGCAGGCCCGTCCTCGTGCCTTGAGCTGTTTTTTGCAGTGCTCATGATGTATTTGGCAAACAACTGTTGACTCTTCTGCAGGAATGGGTCAATTCAAACTGTGGAAACCTTCCTTCTGTTCCCTGAACTGTTATCCTTTCTTGTCCTCTGGTTGGCCTAAAGAGTTTCATGATTTAATTTTCTTTATTTTTAAGTAGGTCTTCCACAGTAACCCATGCATGTCCTGTTCTATATTTTTAGGGGCATGTGATACAAATAAAAAAGATCTCTGCCATGGAGAAAACAAACTCAGAAGCTTATTTAATTACCATTCTGCTTTATAGCTCAACGTAACCCATTTACCTTTTTGCTTACTTCCTCAAATATGAGCACAACTAACATCTGTAAGTTTGGCTGTTTTTTTTATAAGAGCCTGAAGATATGAGAGCCAATCTGGCATCTTCCTTCCAGTTCTGTGGCAGTCCCTTGACTGGGAGAATATAACACTAAAAAAGAAAAAGTTGCTCAAGTAAATTTGTTGAGATAAAGCTTGAGTGTTTTAGTTACGAATTGGAAAGGAAGACCAAAGAAGAGAACGAGACACAGAAAATGAAATTGGCAGGCTGTGTCCTCCATGAGCTGGCACCAACACTTTTTTTTTCTGTCACATACCGGAGCTTTTCTGAGGACACAGATTGAGGCAAAAAGCAGAGCAATCCAAAGATGATCTGTCTTCTCTAGTGGTGATAATTTCTTAGCTCTTATGTCTTTATGAATCTGAAAGCACTTATAAAGGAATTGATATCATTTTCCCCATTAGCCTGCGGTCAACTAATAGCTGCTCTAGAAATTGAACTTAAGTGATGTGCTGTCAGTCTAGTGAAACACGCTGGTGTCGGGGTGTCTGCCAAGGCAGGAGAGGTGACTGCTGGCTGTCAGAAGCAGGTACGGCCCAGAATGTGGCTGTGGTGCATTGCTGTAAGCTCCCTGTGCTCTAAGATTGCCGCTGCCACCTGCAGGGTGCCTGCTCTTGCTCTGCATCCTTGCTCCTGGCTCTGTGCAGCGGCAGGGAATGCAAAGGTGGGATTGGGGTTGGTGCTGGAGCCTGGGAGCCAATTTGCTCAAGTTTTGGACTGCGTGAAATAGGGAGGAAGGACAGGATTTGTACAGCAGAGCTTCCTGGTGGCTGTTCTGATTTACGTTGGGAAAGCAAGGAATGCTGTTAATACTGTGATGTTCACAATATTATTATAGCTATCCAGTGATGTTGAGTGAAAAATTATGATTTCTCATAGTCACCTGAATCCATTGCTATCAGATGAATTCCTTTTATATGTCCCAAAGGTATTCAGGATATCTTAAGGAAACTCTTATAGCCACAGTTGTATTCCTACATGTCTGAAGCATAGAAGGGTTGTTTTTTAAAGTAATGAAGTATGATAGTAGAAAACTAGTCAAAACCAAGCAATTTCAGTACATGAGATAGTGTTGCAGTGAATGCTTTGCTGGTTCTCATCTTCTGGGGTAAATTACTTACATGTAAGTCAATCATTTCTGACTCCCCAAAACAGGTTCTGATTTTATCAGAGGATTTAGACAATTCCAGATGCTTGCAGTAAGCATGAAGGAGCACGTATTTTGTCTTTACCTGTGGAGCAGGTAAAACCTTATCCTAGATGTGTGCAGGAACGTAAATGGTTGTCATATCTCGTTTCCTTTTATATCTTCTTGTTCCATTTGACAACAAGAGTCAGATGTACCAGATACATTTAATCTGGAGAAGTGTCAGCAATATCAATTTTTTCTCTGCTTTTATATTTCCTGCACTTCTAAGACTCTAACTTTTTGATCTGATTTCTCCTGGCCATGCTATGTACTCCTTTTCCTCTTTATTTCTCTTGCTTTGTGCAGGTCACTGTACATAATATACAGATCCTTACCTTTGCGTGGCTCTTCTCAGGTGAAAAAGGGCTACATTAACAAGTCTGATAGGTAGAATGCAGGTGTAAATGATGGATATCATGTTTGTGACTATAGGCTGCTTCGTGGTAGAACTGTGTTTATTTTACAAGTTCTTTAGTTGCTGTTTAACTCTTTCTTATCTTGCACATTTTAAAAAATAGTCTAGTAGCTTTTATATAGTAGATAGAAATATAACAATTTATGGCTTTAGAAACAATTCGGGAAGAAAAAATAGCTGTTGAGATCAAATGACCTGATTTGGCTGATTGGGCTGAACTGAAATTCTCCTTCTCTCCTACATTTGATGTGAAATTCTTCATTTCCGAGCTGTTGATTATTTGAATGTTGCTCTATCCTAATCTCTGCTCCTAGAATTTATTCTGCTTCGAGCAGTTTGAATTACGTCTCCTATGTAAGAGAGTGGGTACACTCACCATAAGTGTTCCAAATAATTCCTCAGGTCTGATTTTGTATTAACACTTTAGAGAGGTGTGTGAGGGTAACGACGGCCAAGGTTGGGGTACTGCAGTAATAGGGATGTTGGTTGGTGGACTGACTGGAGTTTTTACCTCACCAGTCTGTCTCCATGGTGTTACTTTGAGATGGTGGTGTTTGAGAAAGTATTTACACGGAGCTGTAGCCCAGAAGGAGGAATTGAAGGTGATGGCTGGTGTCTGTAGGTGGGGACCAGACAGGAATTGAAAGCAGATCTCGGTGTAAATCTGTGGAAGGGATTGATCTCCTATCTATGGAGAGGAAGGAGAAAACATTAATGGAGTGGGGAATTGTGTAAAGCTGTGAGATGCAGTGAGCAGAGTGCTGAAAGTGGACAGCTGAAGGGTGCATGGGGGGCCATCAGTGCTGCTTTTGCTTTGGGCAAGCTGAGCCACAGCTGCGAGAGCGAGGAAGGCGAGGAGCTCTCGAGCCTTGCCTGTGGGATTGCAGTGCTTTCAGCAGCTTTGGCTGCATTGCACTCCCACACAGAAATCCTCTGCAGTACAACCACCCATCTCATCACTGTTACCAAGTTTTCCTGGCCAGTGAAACAAAATCAACTGAAAACATGAAAATACTACTTTTTTCTTTTTTTCCCTTTAACCCGCTCCTCTCCCCTTTGTTCTGTTTGTCTTTCTTTCTCCCTGCTGGAACTAGAACTGAATGATTGAAATGATTATGAGAAGTGATACTGAATTATTTTGAGGGCCAAGCTGTTTGTTTCTGAATGGAGAGGATGAATTTTTTTAGAACTTCCTGTTTTGCTGGTTTATATCAACAGTACCTTACATAAAATAGAGTGCTTACATAAGGTAAAGGAACTGGAGAAGTCTTAACTCCTGCACTGTTTGAAAACTGATTTCTCATGTTAATTAAACCTCTGCAGAGCTAACCTTATATGTGACATTTGGTGTTACAGGTGGCATGGACTGGCTTCCTAAGTCTGTTTTGAGTCATTATCACTATGTAATACACTGTGGGCCAACCATGCACGGTATTCTTGACAAGGATAAAGCCAGCTGGTTCATATTAGCAGAAACCAGCATTTACATTTCAGTCAGTGAGTGATAGTGCTCCCCATGTTGCTCTCGTTGCCAAGCCTGCTTTCCAAAAGCCCTGTGGACATTGCTGAATGTTGTCAGGAATGGTGATTTTTCACACTCTTGCGACCATCTGACTTACCCTTACTTTCCAACAGCAAAACTGTTTTCTTCATCATCTAGCAGTAAAATTTCAAATGAATTAATCTAGTAAAATAAATCTGGGAACTCCTGCTTGTTCTAGGAAAAGCTGCATTCCAGGCACTGGGTGGATATGTGGAAGGGAAAGTATTTTGGTGTGTGTGTGATGTTTTGTTTTTTTATTTTGTTGTTGTTTTTTAAACAGCTGAGGAAAGCACATGGATAAGAATGCAGGATTTCAGCTCATGAGAACTTGACATGAATATGTTTCCAGGATCTGTGGGTCAAGAGGCAAACTTGGTGAACTTTTGCATAGAACAAATACTTTCCTAGCCCTGTAATTTCACCCATCCTGAAACGTGAACAGTACGTTGTGCGAGGAGCACAAGAATGTCCAGTGACATCAAGAAGGAAAGCAACCAAGGAGGGAAAGGAAATCTATTTAGGTGAGAAGTGCTGTGCAGTTGACATGGACTGCACAGGCTGAACTGCAATCTGATTTTGGAGTGGAAGTTCCCATCTCTCTGAGGACTTGTAGACAGTCCTATTATATCTTCTAGTCTTCTCTTGGCTTGATTGACCTTGCTGAAAAGCAACAGGTGACTATGGGAAAAAAAAAACCAAAACTACCTGTTTTTATAGTAACACTGAGAAATCTCTTTTAAAAAGGAATTTATTTCATGTTTGACCCTAGGATTTCATTGTGCATGAAAGATACCTGGTGGATATTGGAAATGGGGACAAGGTGCCCAAAGTTGAACTACAGAGGGCAGGTGAGGAGGCTCTCAGCCTGGGGATGTAAACCCTCTTTTCTAGAGAGAGAGGAATGGAATTGCCTTGTTATTGTGAATTCCAGGCTCCCATTCACAGAAGAGCTCCAGGGCTTATAACAGTCAGGATGATGTACACTTTATGCTTTCTTCCCCCGTTGATCTTTGCTTGAATGCACAAGAGCTGGAATTCCTGTTCTAAAGCTCATGGTGTTTTAGAGGAACAAAACCCCATACAGTGTCAGTGTAAGAATCACAGCAGTGGCCTTGAAAAGAAACCACCAGTGACAACTTTTTGCATTTCTTCAGACCACTGCCACCAATGCTGCTTTATCCAGAGCTGCTGTGGCCAGCTTTGCAAGTCTTGTACGAAACTCTTGTGCTTGGTGAGCGAGGAGCATCTGTATGTGTTGGAACTGAATTCGTTACCTACATGCACTCTACTTAATTCACTTGATTGCGCTTATCTATAAAGTGTTTACATAAGTGCACCCCAAATGAATTACATTGATTACTTCCACCACTGTGAAGCTATTGTAACTGGTCAGAGATGGTCAGAGAAGGGTAGGTAAGAAATTAACAGGAGCCTGAAGGATTCGGTTAGTAAAGAAAAGTTTTAGAAGGTTCTGAGAGTGATGGAGGAGGGGATAGAATGTAATACGCTATAAACATTTGAAGAACAAAAATATGGAGAGGAATTATTCAAGACAGAAAGAAGGCGAAACTGGAGAGGTATAAAATAAGTGTGAAGGAGAAGGAAGGTCCTGACAGCGAGATGTCTGCAGGCTGTGTCTGCAGTAACCCAGGGGGGCACTACACCAGTATCGTGTCTTAAAACTAAATTGGATAGGTGAGGAAGAATAACCTATAGCAGGCAACCCTTCTATGAAGAAGGAGGAGATTTATGTAACCATCTTCAGCATTTAGTATAAATTCAATACTGTCAGCAAGAAAGATCACTTACAACGCTCACCTTGTGTTTTTACTTTTAATGAAGCCATTACTGAGGTCATGTTGTTTATTTATGCTAGCATGTTCTTAGCTACAACCGAATAAAGAAGCAAAATGCATTAAATCGATCGCCTGCAGATTTAAGGAATGCATGTACATGAAATTTTCTTTGATTTGCCCGCACACTTGTTGGAAACTGACCTTGTATTAGTTTGAATGTAAAAACACTCAATTGACTCCTGTGTGAAAATTTTCTTTTTCCTTACCTCCTTGCCATGAGTCAACCTGAAAATACTTGTATCCCAGTTAGAAAATTCACTTAATTTCAAATGAGAAGGTTTATTAGAAAATCATTTGTGCTTTAAGAGCTTATTAATTTCTAAAACCTGCTCTTCCAAGATAATTTTCAACTAGACAGAGGGATTAACTTTTTTAGTTAAAAGATTTTTATTTCTGTTTTTCATTAATTTGCAACTGGAGAGGAAGCACAGAAAGCCTCTTACTCAATGGGGAGAACTTTTAAAATATGACCAAGCTTACAGTGTTTTTATGATATGGTGCAAACATTGTCAACTTAGGGTTTTGTGTTAATTTTTGCAGCGTTTTGTCCTTTGAGAGCTGTGTCTATACGTGCCAATCAGGTTAGGTTTGGTAGGAATATTGTTTTTTCCTGCTGCCTATTTGAGGACCTGATTACTGTGATCAGGTAGAACGACTGAGCAGTCAGTTTGGGTTCCTGAAGCTTTTTGTTCTGCTAACCACTGGTTACCTGCAGTCAAAGAAAGCCCATTTTTTTTCTGTGGGTGAGGGTGCTCACTGCTCACTTCATTGAGCCTCATTGTCCTGCTCCTCATGTAAACCTCATCTTTCTTACAGTTTCCTTTCCAAAGCTTCTTCAGGTTGTGTCTCCACAGACAGAGAATCTCAGTCCAAGCAGAAGAAACTGCTGTCCATCTGCTGAGCAGATGTTGAGCATCACCAGCAGTGTGCCATTCTCTTACTAGCCCGTTCTCAGAGAGGTGTGGTGCTTTTTTTGGGGTACCTGTACTAGAGTGAGGATCAAGCCAATATGACTTTTAACTGTTAGGATCTTTTTAAATCCAGTCCTTTAAAACTTTGATCTCTAATGTAGGGGCAGAGGTGTCCCAGTCTCAGAGCACTTGAGCAATGTTTAAATTAAAGTGAATACTTGCTTCCACAGGCTTCAGTGGGACTTCTTCCACGTGTTGAATACAATAAATACTTAAGTGATGAGTGAGGGCTTGGAAACAGGAGCTCTTTTGTCAAACAGTACAGTACCAAGCCCTAAGACAGCTGGCAATCCTAAAACCCATTAGGGTTTATTTTTACAATTAAAAAGTCAAAAGCTCGTGAATAATGTATGTGGTCAAAACAATAGTGCACATTCAAAATACCAGAAAGAACCAGCCTGTGTACTAAAATGTTCACTACTGGGAAAAACAGGAGGGGAAAAATTAAAAGAAAAAAAGAAAGACCGCTTCTATTCACACAGCAACAGCAGCTGCAGTTGGCTGGGGCAGAGGTTTGTGCCATGAGATCATTCTGGAAAACAAAATTAGTAATGGATCGAAGTTGCAGTTATGATCTGACCTATGGTTGTGTTACCAGGAGTTTTCAAAGGAAGAGCGTTCAAGTGTGCTCAGAGATGCTCATCGTCTAGTGACAGGCAATAAAGAGCAATTCATTAAGGGAAGGACAGGTAAGATGTAACAGATACACCACACCACTCAGTTCATAGTAGTTGGCCAGAAAAGCAGGGCTTGCTAAAAGGCAGTGAGGGTATGTGCACTGGTTTGCTTGAGCAGGATGTACCGAGCCTGGGATTGTCCAAGTTCTTATGTCAACCAGGGCTCTGTACTGGTGGAACTCATGAGCTGCTGCAGTGGTGCAGTGCTCACAGGTCTCTAGCTAGACAAGTTTGGGGGATTTTTGGTCTGTTTTTTACCCAGTGGGTTATTTGAGCATCCTTCGTGGCAGCTTGTTGTGTACTGCAACTGGGAGCAATTTAGGTAGATCTTCTTAAAGCTTTAAATGCTCTTGGGACTAGCTGAAAGTGAGGACCCCGCAGCTGTGGATGCTGTCTTCCATTACGGCTGGAGGCAGTGAAATCCATAGGGATTAAGAGAAAAATCTCTCTGGGACCTCACATCTTATGAAAAGTCACTTTTAGTCAAATACTGAGAAACTAGACTATGAGTCCTGTGGCACAGCAGAGGGTTGTCATGGATACTTTGACTCCAGGACACTATAAATCTCATCTTTCATTACATTTACAGTATCTTAGCACTTTTAAATCCATTCTCAGTGCAATTGCAAAGCTACATCAAAGTATATGGTACAGTGCTATAAGAATAACTTCTTTGTCTCCTCAGGTGTGGTGAAGGCTCTGTTACTTAAAGAACTCCCATAGAGTCAATGAGCCATTGCTGAGCACCATTTGGACGCTCTTTAATGTAAATAAAGGTAAAATTTGTCATGGTTTGACTAGAGATCCCTTACTGCTGTAGATGTGTGACTGCCTTTTTCTACCTAAAGTATTCAGTGTTATCTCAACTGAGGAGAGCTATTCTGGTTATGTGACACAGGCTGATGTGCACAGACCTGCAACCCCAGAGCTGCTGTGTGTGTTTGGAAGCTGGGGCAAGGGCTAGGATGAGAAGTCGACTCATTTATTTTACTGTATAATGTGGGGATCAATCTTTTTCTTTGAGTTAAAGCAGCTAACTTGGGAGCGCTGGAAATTGAAAATAAGAACCCTTCTTAACCAGCCCTGGTTTTGGAGTGGGTCTATAATAGCCTGGTAAACTCTACCACATTTCCCCGCTAATTGCCAATTAGCGCAACAGATCTGTATGCACCTTCCTAAAATTAAGTTATGCTGGGTACTGATAGATCAAAAGAAAACCAGGTGAACAGAGGATGGATTCTGAAAGGCAACTTCTTCCATCTGTCCTTAAATATTTTTCGTAGGAGCTGACAGGAGCAACGATATCTAGATATTTCTAATAAATGGATGGAAGGAAAATGGGTAATGTCTTTCAGAAATCTTACCTTTCAGGCTAGGTTCTCCAAATGAGAAAGCAGGGAGGTACACTAGAGTTCATGTAATTCCCCCTTTTAGTGTTATCAAGAACGAACTGTAACTTGAGTATGGCATAATTCATTGGCTTGAATGAGGCAATTAAGGTCTGATGAAAAAAAGCGTGTTAATAATAATGCCTTCTGGCTGCAGTTAGTGTAGACAAATAGATTTGTAATTTAAGGTGCTACTCCTTTTGAGTTCTGTCTCCCTCTCTAGTAAGGGAAGACAGCCTTGTTGTCGACCATGGTGGCCTCTCTGAGGTGCAGCAGGAGCCAGCAGAGCTGTGGACGGACGCCGGGGCAGTCATGCTTGGCAGGTTGGTGCCCTATCACAGAGCAATTGTGGCATGTTGCAAGCTTTGGTACGAGAACAAAGAGGATTGTGTGAGTGTTAAAACTGCAGAAGAGCTGCAGAAAAACTCAGAAGAGCTGTCTGCAGGGCAGGGCTGAATGCCTGACCACATCGTTTCTGAGGAGGCCAACAGAGGGGATGAGTTGGTATATCTTCCTGATGAAAGCTCGTACCACACTGACATCTCCTGCCTCGTCCTGGCCCCGAGCGAAGCGCTGGAGGCACGGAAGGCTGTGACCCTTCTCCTTGGTCTGTCTATTCTTTGCTCGGGGAAAGGAATTCACTGACAGCGCATCCCTACGGAAAAGATTCAGAACAAATGCAGCCTCCTCCAGAGCTGTGCTGCAGGGTCTTGTACAGGGTCTGCTAGGATAAGAAATTTTCTTGTTGCCTTCACCACGTCAGCTCGGGCTCTTATTTTATGATATGCAACGCATATTCGCAGGAGCCCTCCATGTCCTCTAGCTTTGTCTTGGTTTCCAGCTGTGGTGCTGATATTATATTCTATACCTGAGTTAAATCCTGTACTTTCTCACCTTTTTTGCAGAACAGTTTTCGATCATTCTCTGTCAAGTGAAGATGAGCAACACTGTAATAGCAGAGAGGATTCGAGGGGCAGGCTTTCATGCTGTCAAAAAATGTCCAGTTGGTACTTTTGAACTTTAAACACGAGAATAAATACAGGAAGTTAGCCTTGCTTTCAATCAATGACCAAATTGATCTTGAGTAATGAGTTGTTTGGGTTTCTTTTGTGGCTGAGATGAACTAAATTACCTCAAAGAATGCATCCGTACCATCAAATTAAGAATATGAAAATGCTTGTAGAAAATGCTTTACTAGGAGATCCAACAGACTTATTAGAAGAAAAGCTACAGTGTGAAGGCTCTCTGCCATAATCTTCCTTTAAAACAGAATCCTAATTGAAGCGAACTTGCAAGAAACCTCGAGTCCAATTCCTCTGGTGTTTGTGAGTCCAGGTTGGTAGCAGTAGGGCAGTGGTGCTTCCGAAAGGAATCGGATCAGCCTCGTGACATTTTGTTGTAGATGTTGTCCATAGGAATGAACTGATGGAAAGATCCAATATCCTGTTGTAAAACAAGAGGAAACTTTCTAAAAAACAGTAACTTCTATAAAATGGTTTTGTGGCTTTGAGGCTGAGAGGGGTTACTGTGCTCTTGAACATCCAGGAGAAACTGTAAAGCTGTCCTCATGATGGGGTTGCGAATGTAATTATAGTTAAGTCTACACTTCAATGGATCTCCAATCATTAGCTTCAGCCTCAGGTAGATGAACCTTTCAAGGAGAATAAATCAAAAATGCTTAAAAGTTTTAGATATGCTGAAGGCAACACCCACCTTCTGCATAGTGAAAACATCAAAAGGGAAAAGTGGACTTAGAATAATGAAATTTGGGAACTTGAGAAATTATAGAGGTCACTGCAGATCCCAGCGGCCCTTGAGCAAAACTGTTTCAAGGCATTTTAGTTCTCTGACCTTCTTTGTATGTATTTGAAAGCCACAGCTTTTTACCTCAAGCATTCTAAACAAGATTAAACAACTTCTTCACATCTGCTGTGTTCATAATGTGTAGGAAGAGCTATCAGTTTTGGTTGCCGTCAAGATGGAATGGTTTTCACTTGATTTAGAAAAGGTGTTTAAACATACTGTTTTATGTTTGTGTGTTCTATGATGCTCTAAAAATGGGGAAAAAATAGCTTGCTTTAATTTGATGGCTTTTATCTAAAAGGAAGAAAATGCTTCGAAAACAAAGCAAACTACATCTAGAGGTCAATTCTCTTGCAGGCATGAATAGCAGCATCTGTTCAATAGCGAGCAGCAACTCTACTTAGTGATGGAGTACAGAAACGTGTCAGCACCAAAGAAAACTGGCAGAAAAAAA